GGGTTTATCTGAATACATCCCAGATGATGGGGAAAAAAAGAAATAAAAGCTTTGCAACAATTAATTGTAGTCATTTTTGCTGAAGACAGGGGTAATTTTAATTAATAGGACAAAAAATCGCATAATTTTTTTACAAAGCTTGAGCTGAATCTCAACTTTTTCCCAATAAACCTCAACTTAATTAATACGAACTTAAAGCTTATTAATAGAAGTTTTTGTAAATGTGAAGAAACTTTAGTATAGTTCTTTATTTTTTTTTCTTTCGTCGGCCTAAGATTCTCACATAAGTCCTATACAGTTAGTATAGTTGGATGATGATAAAAAAACTTAGAATAATTTATGATTTTTCTAAAAACGGAACTTATCTTAGTTTAGCCGCTCAAAAGTCCTCTGTAAATGGTTTTAACAATGATAAACTCTATGTTAATTTAAATTAAATTTCATCTTGTTTACAATGAAACAGTTATTAATTACTTAAATTAAATTTTTCTTTATTAATCGCTTCCTATTCAAGAAAAAACTCGACTCACTTAAAAAAACACAACCTTCGATTTTCTATTTTTCTGCTCAAAATTGGTCCATTGTTTATATAAACTTTTTTGTAGATCATAAGGTCAGCTATTATTTCTATCAAAATCTCCCTCTACTTATGGGACACCCTGAATAAATGATTTAAATCTTACCAAAAATATTCTTTAACACCTTTATCCAATTGGCCTTAAATAGAGTGTTAATGCTGAAATACCAAGTCGATTCTGTGCTCATCTTATCTTTTTTTTCCTCTTTACCACTGGTTTAACCAGACAGCCGGTTAAGCGGGGTTCTGATGTATTATAGCCATATAACCTTGATTATGTGATAACCACCATATTTCTATTGATAAAATCAAATCCCGATAATTTTTTTATTTTTAATATTTATTTGTCCGGTACCTTGGTTTTCTCCTAGACAGACGACTAACGTGGAATCCGCATACTAGACTGAAAAGACAGTAACTTAACCGACGTTATGGCCAGCTATATAAACTGCTTAATAGAAAATCTAAACTTTCTGGTGAAAACAAACTACTGATATACAAGACAATACTAAAACCCATCTGGACCTACGGACTAGAACTGTGGGGGACAACCAAATTTTCTAACACCAAACGCATTCAATCCTTCCAGTCCAAAGTCCTCCGTACAATACTCGATGCTCCCTTCTATGTCACCAATAAAACCCTGCATAATGACATTAATATTCCATTTATTCTTGATCTTATACCAGACAAAGTTTGCAAATTCCATCAAAACCTTACCCATCACCCTAATTCCGTAGCACGATCCCTATCTAGCACCACTCATCCCTACAATCCTCCTCGCAAGCTGAAACGGCAGTGGCCCCGTGACCTTTCGTAACATGTATATTGGAGTTCTGGCAATGGCCAGATTCTCCACTCAAGTCATAAGTGTCCGTGGTTGTAGAGCCCTTACTCAATCTCCGCTGGCTTTTAATACCAGTGAAATGGTTGAGGAAGAAGCGCAGGGATCTCCTGAAGCCTTGCTTTCCCTCCACATGTGGGGGGATAAGTATGGTTCGGAGTTCCCATGGCCGACTGTAAATAGTGTAAATAGGTATGCCTGCATCTAAGATGTTTATTTTCATTACTTTTTTTTTAAGATAATTTTAATTCTATTTTATTCATTTATTTTCATTCTATTATTACTATTATTTATATTTTCTTCCTTCACTATGATATTTTATTTTGTTCTTTTGTAGCTTTATATTATTTGAAGTTAGCTTATTTTTTTTTTAATTTGTAAATATGGTGTGAATGTGCTCTCAGAACTCTATTATAAATGTCCTTTATTGAGACAGATTGTAATATTTATCAATAAACAAATAAAATTTTTTTTTTAATTTTTTTAATTTTTATTTATTGAGTAGTACAACAATCTGTCTCTTGGACATTAGTTATAGTGAGGTAGGATAACATTCACACTATATATACAAAAAAAAAAAAAAAATAAATAGAAGCAAAATAACAATAAATAATAATCAAAAAGTGATAACAATCAAAAAGTAACGATAAATTAAACGATGAAACCATATCTTCATCTTAAAAGTCTACATCTTCCCTAATATAATTTTCGATATATTTGGAGACATTGAATAAATAAATCAAAAATTATAAATACATTCATTTATCTTGAGTCCGATCAATAACAATTATTTTGGGGGGTTTCTTGGCTATATCACCATCATGTCTCTGGTCTTATTTGACAACCAAGGATATGAAAGGGGGCAGGAAATGGTTACTAAGGAAACGCCTCATGTTAATTAGGTGTTGGCACATGCTTTCCGAACAGCAATCAAGAAAAAATAACAAGGGCTGAGAATTCCCCGAGAGTGTGTATCCCCGAACTTGCTTAATTGCCTGACGAGGAGAGATCTTACTTTAAGAAACATTAGAGAGTCCCGGCACAGCCCTAGTGCTAAGTTAGAAGTTTCCTATAGTTTTTTCATTGAATTTCCTTAGTTTGCGGGGGGGATAGTTCTATAAAGTCGATTCTCTTTTCGCTCCGTCCATTGGCAAACGTTAAGAAGGATGGTGCTTATACTCATCTTGGTTATAACTATATGGTGCTTTGGAACTATAATAGGGCATGTCTTTTCTACAATCACTCTTCTGACAAGTTACATAAACTTTTTCGTCAAAATCGGCTACCCGGAAGTGGAACTTTATATAATGGACTAAACACATTTTTACGATTATCTCGAAAACGGCTATAACGATTTTGATTTAATTCATCATATCAGTGTAAAATTAAGGAATTTAAAATAAAATGTGGTTATTATTCTGAATTATGTTCTCCAACAGGGCTCCAATGGCTAATTTTCAATATTAGCTTCCTTTAAAGTACCTTTATTTTTTTTTATTTGAAACAATTAACCATTTCACATTGATTTCTAATATGATAGATGGTTAAATATAAAATATGAAAGAATTTGATATATAGCAAAAGGAGAAATAAGGGATCGTAACGGAGAATAGTTGTAATTGAGGAACCAAAGGAATACGAGCGAACCCAAGCTCGCTCGAAAGATTAGAACCCGTTTCCATACGTATCAGGAGATTAATATAATACGGACTCCGACAATATTATATAGATATATGTATGTGGTTTTCATATATGTTATTGTTGGTATTATTTAATACTCAATTATATAGATTACAGTGATATAAATATTAAAATTTGTATATATGAGGGTACTTACTAAAAATACCCACAATGAAATATAAATAAATATAGAGCCTATAATTTTTACTTTCACTTCGCTTTGTCTGAAGATATCTATTTCTGCTAAGAGGGTGGTTAGTGAAAGGTGTGTGACGCGCACCGCACCAGATTTTTTTTAAATTTTATGCGGCAAATCGATATTCTCGACCCCTCTCAATTTTTATTGGGTGTGAGGGTTTTCTCCCTCGCTTCCCCTCCCCTCACGCCTATGGTTTCTGGTGTCTAAAATTTGTAAACCGAGTTTTTAACAGCTCATTAACTTAATTAATTCAATGAGAAAAGATTCCATTTCTGAGAACTTTATTAGATGAAAGAATTGTTGGTTACGATGAGATGAATTTGATAATTTGATAAATATGGGCCTATACCACGGAATACCATTTAATTCCTTCACCGTAAACTAGAATAAATTTATTCAAAACGGAAGTAGATTTTGTCATTGGTTAAACCATTTAAAGAAGACTTTTGAGCAACAAACTAACAGGAAGTTCAATGTTCCATAATATCATGGATTATTCGCGATTTATTTTGTCAACATTCAAGTGAACAATAAATATACAACTTTTATAATGATTTCCTTCTTTAAATATCTTTTAAAGACTACGATAAATTACAAATCGTTTTTTATTCAACGACAAATCTCCAACCTTTCTGCAGAAAATAAGACCATTGTTTTAAAAAAAAATTTTGAAGCTCCTAATGTCTACCGGTCTCAAGTATTTCCCTTTACTCAAGAGACATCCTGTATATATTTGAAAGGCACTGAAATATAGTCCGTCTTACAGATCTCTTTTTATCAAATTATTGACACCCTCTCAAAACTTCATAAATGGCTTCTTCTTAACGTACCTACAAATTTTAAATTATCTACGGAGATTCTCAAAAATGGGGCGTTTTGTAATAAAATGAATTAATTTGATAATAAAATTAAAAAAAAAAAAAGTGGACTACAAAAATATTGGCTGTTTGGCCTGAGTTTTTTTTTTTTTTTTAATCTGTTTATTGAATAATAATACAATCAGCCACTGCTGGAGGGCTATAAGCATTAGGGCTAAAAGTTCTCATTCATACAATATATACAAATAATAAAGAAATAAATATAAATATAAGAAGTAAATAAATAATACTGGTGAAGAAGTTAAATAAAAAAAAAATAAAATAAAATAAACCAATAAAATAAAATAAAAACTTCTAAACACAATCATACCTATATACAATATATACATTCGCCCGAGAATCTCCGAGCCAGGCTTTTTCCCCCACACGTGGAAGGCAAAGCAAGACTCCGGAAGATCCCAGCGCCACTTTTCCAGCCGCATCACTGGTATTAGAATTTTGGCCTGAGTAAAATCGTTATTTTAACATGTTGGGGAGTGGAGGTTGCGCCAAACAGTCCAATATTTTTGTAGGCCACTTTTTTTCTAGATTTTGTGATCAAATCATCTTACGATTCAAGTGAAGATCAAATGAGCGTTCATGAGTTTTTTAGTACATAATTAGATAGACAAAGTTTTCCCATGTCCAGATTGAAAACGCCACAATTCCGAGAATCTTCGTAAATAAAAATGTAGGTTACGATAAGATGAAGGTATTTACGATTTTTTTGGCGGATGTTAATAGTTTGATAAAAAATGTGTCTGTACCACAGACAAATAGAACTTGTTCGATCTGTCGATATTTCCCGCTTCTATTAGGTCAAATTGATAAAATTTCAGCTTCTTAAGACGGTTTGTTGGGACAGGGCTGTGGAAGCAGTTTGCAGGAGATGAAACAAAGTGTAGAGGCACTAAAAGCAAGTAAGGAGGATGAGTAAATTTCTTCAACTGTTGTACTCCCACAAGGCTCAACTCTAGCCCTCTTTTGCAGCTCCTTAGCATTAACTACACCTGCTTAAACTTCTCACTTTCTAATCGGTCCATAGTTTTAACTGATTTATTTATTTATTTAGTTTTTATTTTTCAAGGATTTTTCTACGCTATACGAAACTCGCGATTAAAAACACTTTAGGATTAAAAATATGTAAGTTTTTAATGCTTGTAACATACTCATTGCTTCGACAGTAAATCTCATTCATAATAAAGGAAGGAGATGGTCCGGGGTGGCGGCCATAAATAGGCTAAATAGTGGCAAAACTATTTTATTGAATCCGACGTTTCGACCCGACTTTGCAGGTCTTCTTCAGGGCTAGAACGGACAAGATACAAAAAGATAGAGAATTGTGGCAGTTACATAATATTAAGACAAAAAATTATAAACTACGTGAATAAGCTTATTAAAATTATAAACAGTAAGTACATTAAAATATAAACAGAGTAAGCTAAGTAACAAGATCCTAAACTGAAGTAAATAGGTGGTAACAATTGTTGTAATGTAACATACAATATATGCAAATGTGATTATACTTTTACAGATCTGCAGGAGAGATTGAAAGAAAAGAAAAAAGGATATAATATGAAATAATAAAGGAATGTAGATAAAGGAAAGAATAAATAAGTAAATAAAATGAAAGAATAAAATTAGAGACTTACAGGTGCGTTCACTAATGGGGAAAAACCTAGGAAATTACAGTATCTAAAATATGTAGATATGGATGGATACAATGGAAAAATACTATATATATGAAATTTTTAAATTATATAAAATAGAATTGAGAGATTATAGATAATAGTACAATGTGAATAAACCCAAAATTGGCAAAAGTAAAATATAAATATAGAAATAACTTCATTTACATTGTAGAATTAACTTAGAAATATGGAGAGGGAAAAAAATTAATAATTATAATTATATTTGGTTGTACATATGTAAGACAATTACATTTGAATATTAGATAATATTGAGACATGGTTAATAAGTAAAATGAATACAAAGTGGAAAAAGGATGATCATACATTGATGTAGAGTGTAAATATAAATTTATAATAAAATAAAAGAGAGATCATACAAAGAGGAAATATTTAGAATGAATTAATGAATAAATAAAAATGAATTAATCAATAAAAATTGAGAGTAGATACGAATATAAATAATAGAATATAATACATAATTTATTTTCACTTATAATATTTAAAATGTGTCTATATGTTAAAGAAATACAGTTTTTGTCTACTTTATGATTAACAGGATTCTGTTGCATGTGAATGTGGATAGATTCGGAAATGAGTCTTTTTTCATGGTTATTGACCGTGGCAAGAGTAGAGATTTTTTCAAAATCAAATGAGTGGTTGAGGGTTAAGGTATGTTCTGATAGTTTGGAGGCGGAAGGATTCCGGGAAGTTATGGATGTTTTATGTTGAGAAATGCAGGTTTTGAGATGGCTTTTGTTTTCACCAATATAGGAGCTATTACAATTAGGAGTAGAGCAAGGTATCCGGTAAACTACATTAGATCAGTGTTGTAAAAGTATGGGATCCTTCAAGTTCTTTCCTCTTCAAGTTGGTTCTTTCTCTTCATCATTCTAAATATTTCCTCTTTGTATGATCTCTCTTTTATTTTATTCTAAATTTATATTTACACTCTACATCAATGTATGATCATCCTTTTTCCACTTTGTATTTATTTTACTTATTAACCATGTCTCAATATTATCTAATATTCAAATGTAATTTTCTTACATATGTACAACCAAATATAATTATAATTATTAATTTTTTCCCCTCTCTATACTTCTAAGTTAGTTCTGCAATGTATGTATGTAAATGAAGTTATTTCTATATGTATATTTTACTTTCGCCAATTTTGGGAAGATGCACCAATTTAAACATGTCACTTCTAGATCCATACGCACACGCAAGGTGTACTCATAGCCCTTCTTCGGTGTACAAACACAGGATACAGAATTGATCGAATCGCAGAAATATATAGAATGAAAGTTTATAAATATTTGAAATATTAGAAAAAGAAACAATCGTGTAAAAAAAATCGAGATATTAAACGCTCAAAATAGACACTAATAGTAAAATCTGGTCGAATAAACAAAAACCATAAAATGTGAAGAAAATAAAAAATATCTTTCGTGCGCATAACACACGACTTTCACTTACCACCCGCTCCTTAGCAGAAATAAGTTCACTTCCGTACGACTTTTGGTTTTTGAGATAGACTGTTTATTTCCGTGAATCTCAAAACGTGTATTTCCGTTGAAAACTCAGATTCAAAAATGTTGACGATCGCACTACTTACCCTTACTATATATTACATACATAGGTAAGTGAAAGTAAAAATAAAATCAAAATCAATAATAATTATTCTACATGAAATATGTAAACTAAATTCAATTAAGAGGTGGGTAATTAGTAGACTAATCAATTATTAGGATGAAACAAAATTGTCAAGATTTACAGCCAAGAATTTTAATTAAGTTAGCCAACGGTTCGGCCCAAACATGTGAATCATCCTCAGGACTGTCTTTATGGAGTCTAGACAAGAACTCAATTTTGAGATTGGTTGTTGAAAGAAGGAGAATAACTCCAAGTTCTTGTCTCGACTTCTTAAAGATAGCCCTGAGGATGACCACATGTTTTGGTCAAAATGTTGGCCTGATAAAAATTCTGTACTGTAAATACTGACATTTCTGTTTCATCTTAAAATCAATTATGGAAATAGGAAATGTCGACTGGATGGCTAAACTAAGGCTTTGAAATGGTTACACAATTTACCACGTCCTGTGTTCCTATTATGCAATTTGTTGTTCATTTAGTTTAGTATTCAAATATAATTATAGTTCAAATATAATATAATTAATAATATAATTGTATTCAAATATAATATAATATAATATGTAGCAACATATCCTAGGATTTTATGATTCATTCACGTGCACTCTTTCATTTTTAGTGGAGATTTATCTCATTTCCTGAGGTAAATTTGAAGCATCGGGGAACTGAGACTTCATTTCACTGCCTAAAACCCTTAACATATGTGATATATTCAATTGCTTAGTTAACATATTTTCATACATAAACATAAATTTATTTTATATATAGTATTATATTGTTCGTTTTACAATAATTATGTTAATTATCAATCATAATATAAACTCCTGAGACTTTTTTGGGGGGAGAGAGGGGAGAGAGAGAGGGTGGTCTCTCGCTTCCCCCAACCAGAATGGCAAGTCTGCGCCAGTGTTAGAAACACAAACAGACGAAAATAAAAAATATGATAAACAGGGGGTTGAAACATTTTGTATTTCCAGAGAAACAAACGCCGAGGATGTTGGAAATTACCAAAAGGATGTAAAATAAAATAAAAGAAGTCGTATAAGTAAGTACTAAACCAAACTTCCTTTGGTTCCTCTTAAAAACCGACAGTAGATGCCTGTGTTTTATGAATTGTCCGAGTGACAAAAACACAAGCTTAGAGGAACTCCCAGTTTACACACTCCTGTTTCCCATAGTTTTTGAAATTTGAAACGAAACTTAGTTTTTTGTTTATAAAACTGTAATAAACTATCATTTTATAGATGTTCAACAGCCTTTTTTCTTGTATTTAATTATCCATTTATTTAATGATAAATATCCCTTTATTGAAAAATACGTATTGTGCATTGGTAAAGATGGATTTCATTAGGTCCTTTTTGATTAGAAGGTATTAATCTAAAGAAAATATATCAATAAACTTACAAAATTTGACCTAATAGAAGTGGGAAATAACGATTGATCGAACAAGTTCTATTAGTCTGTGGTACATACACCTTTTTGTCAAATTATTAACATTCGCCAAAAAATTCGTAAATAGCTTCATCTTGCCGTAACCTACAACATTATTAATTACGAAGATTCTCGAAATTGTGGCGTTTTCAATCTGGACATCGGAAAAATTTTTCTATCTAATTAGGTACTAAAGAAATCATGAACGCACATTTGCTCTTTACTCGAATCGTAAAATAATTTGATTACGAAATCGAGAAAAAAAAACCTACAAAAATATTGGACTGTTTGGCGCGCCCACCACTCCCAATATGTTAAACAATTTTACTTAGGTCAAACAGTCAATATTTGAGTAGGTCACCTTTTTCTCCCCATCGATTTTGTGATAATATATAATAAACTACCATTTTATAGATTTTAATGTTCAACAGCCTTCTTTCTTTTATTTAATTATACCTTTATTTAATGATAAACTATTGTACATAGGTGTGGATGTGTTTTATTTATTTTTTTATCATTCGGCTAATCTGTTATTTTACTTATCTTGTATACCACTTTATGTTTTTATTTTATTTTATTTTTTATTTTATTATACTAGTACCAATGCCCTTCAGTGTGGCAGACTGTATTAATACTCAATAAAACAATTTAAAAAAAAAAAGAAGATAAACATCCCTTTATTGAATAATACTTATTGTGCATTGGCGTAGAGGGATTTCAGGAGGCTCTTTTTGATCAGAAGTATTAATTCAAATAAAATATGTTAGTTTTATTGTTATTTATTTATTTAGAAATATATTAATCTGTCACTTGGACAATAATTATAGTGATATATGAACTGTTATGAATATGTAAATAAACTTACAAAATATTCGGATGACTAGAGTGGTGGTGACAGGATGATCGGCACTCTTGGCCTGGCAGCTGAGCTTTCGTCCATGGAGGTGCTTGTTGGCGCCACCGAGGTGCAGGCGAGAGACTTGGTTGCCGCTGATCTTCAGCTCTGAACTGCTCTCAAGCATCTTCTTGTCCAGCCACCAGCTCACGTTGGGCGTAGGATTTCCTAAAATATCAAAATACAATAACTATATTTAATTCTTCCCCTTCCTAAGCCACAAGTTCACAAACTGAATCAATTATTGACTGCAGCTGTTTAGGGAACACAGCAAACTTCCCATTTAATTTTTTTTCTTTAATGAAATTTACAACTGTATTACATAGAAAATACAACAAGTAAATGTGACATTGGTAACATGACATGTACAACATGAAGAGAAACTACCCATTGTAAGAACGCAAATGAAAGTTCTATATTAGAAGGTCCCGAGGCCATCTTCTTTTTAGGAGCCTCGGAGGGTTATCAGGGATCGAGGAGGAAGCAAGGTTTGAAACAAGAGGATTCGGATGGTTCTGCAGTTTGTTATGGAAGGATAGGTATCTGGATTGGGCCAAATCGGAAACATATGGAACATTAGGGTCTTTATGAATGATTTTATTTGTGACAAAGTAAGGAGCGTTGAGGATTTTGGATTTAATTTGACGAAGGATTTAGGATTGTATACGAGAGGAATTCGATGGTTTAGTGGAGCTCAAAGCTCAATTCCGTAAGTCCAAATAGGTCTTATTATTGTTATATATATGAGTCGTTTGTAATTGATTGAAAGCTTAAAGCGTTTGTCTAGTAAGTGCTGCAGTAGTCAAGAACGTCGGGCGGTTCCTAGTCGTTTCAGTCTGGTATGGGGGTTCACCATTTAATTTAAATCAAGAAAAAAAACAACACAGCTGCAATCTCGAGCATACTGACTATAAATCTCAGATGTTTGGAAGAGTCCGGCATTACTGAAGCGTAGAGGCCCACGTAGCGCAAGAGATTCACTAGACTGACCAGTTAGAAAATTCGTTATTCCACTGATATGATGAACATGGAGTAAAAAACTACAGTGACAAGGGGCCAAGAAAGGAAGAGAGGGAAGATGAACAAGAAGACTGGCAAATAGAAGAAAAGGAAAAAAATGCAAGTATCCCAACCCACCTATATTTAACCCCTTTATAAAATAAAACAATCGATTTTACATCTTCACTTTTTTAGTCCACTCAATTCTTTACTTTACAGTCCACAGCAATAAATTATTACCAGCAGAATTATTATGTCAATATCCCTGACAGCGGTGGAAGGGATTGGCATAGTAAATTAAACAACAGCTGAACAAGTTGCTCCAGGATTGACAATTCTAAAAAAGTAATTTGATAGGACAGTTTTCTTGTAACGTTTTCATCAATGAATCATTTGGTTCTGTTACCGGCGCAAACAAAAACATGAAAAACCCTCTTGTGAGCCTTTATATTTGATTATACTTCCCAAAGTATTGCCGCTGCGGCCAATGAAATCATACTTTTCATCATACGTTCTGCGCGTAATCGAAGTTCAAGCCAAACCAAGGTTAATGACGCCTCTGATAAAAATCTGAAGAAATTGTTCGCGGACAAGTGGAGTTTAACAGCGAATAGTTTAGGTCTTAATTTGTCAATAAAGAAAAACATTGAAAAAAGGCTCTATCTAATTTTAAATCTACCAAAAATAAAAAGAACAAAAAATTATACCAAGAAAAATATTCACTCGAAATTATTTTTTATTTTTTAGAAATTATTATTTATTTACATTTTTTAAATAAATTACATCATGTCATAATGATAAATTACATGTTTGTGGTTGCAGTAACCTTACACACGACATAATTGTGGTATGAATGCTATTAAGAGAATTGAAATCCATTTTTACAGCAGGAAAACCTAATAAAAAACGTACATAAGATATAAATAAATAATTGCAATTATTTAAAGTACAAGAAAAACTAAATATAATTTATATACAAAAGAAAACTGTATATATATATATATATATATATATATAATATATATATATATATATATATATATATATATATATATATATATATATATATATATATACATACACATCTTATAAATATAATTTATTAATTGGAGTTAGAGAGTTTATTGCTACTTGTTTTTTAATAGATATGAATCAGTTAAATTATAATAAATAAACTGATTTATTTAGATGTTTAGTAGTGGGTGTTTAGTCCGTCTGTGTGTATACCGTTTCAAAGATGAGTTGTCATAATTTCCTATCGTTCGGATCATAGGATTTTCAGATTTTGGTTTTAGCTCAAAAAATCTCTGCGTTTTAAAATAAATATATTGTTTTATAGTAGAAAGCTGTAACTCTGATAGCATAATAATACTGGAAATTGATTTGCACTGTCAACTAGCTCATATTATTGAGATAATTAAATTGTAATAAAATTCTTAGGAAAGAGAATAAATGTAAATCACTAATTTAGTAACTTAAATGATAATCAATAGATCATTTTAAATATAAACCCTCCGAGGAGTTTGAAAAGAAGATGGCCTCGTGATCTCCTTATTTAGACTAATTATTAGAGTACTACCAGTGGGTAGTTTCTCAAAAATGTATTGTATGATGAAAATGTAGTTTCTCGTGTGATTATATTCCTGTCCAAACGTTTACTTGATATATTTATATTGTAATAAAGTTGTAAATATCATGAATAAAAAAAAAATAAATATATATATATATATATATATATATATATATATATATAAGAAGAGAACCTATTAAAATTGATACAGTAAGTATCATTATAGAACCGTTTCTCTGAGGTCTTGGGATTCTTCCTTAAGGTGGAATAAGTTTCAAAATATTAAATAATTATTCTCATCTTAAGATAAAAATATAGAAGATATAATCTATAAGATATAAGTTTTTTTTTTAGATAACAACTTTAAGAGTTCTTATACTCGTCCAGAGCCGATCTACAGCCAAAACTGTTGACTATTGAAAATATCCTGAAAAATTCTTACCTCCAGAAACTATGCAGACTAGCCGGATGTCTTGGCTGATCCTGTAAGGTCCCGCGATATCTTTTAGTTCCACGTTGTCATCCGGGTTGTATATCTTCGGTTCGGCGGAAGGAGCTGAAACAAGCAACGAAGACAAAGTTTTGAGAAGCATTAAAGTATTTATAAAATGAAAGTATTAAAATAAATGTACAATTACTATGTTAATTTGAAGACGATACCATTAAAAATCCTTCTCTTGTATACCTCCTACCTCAGAAACCGTCAAAATAGATTAGAACTAATTAATTATTTTAGTAATTTGTTTCTGAATTCGAAAACTTGACAAATCTTACGCTTTTGCATTAATTACCATCACTGTATGAGTTACTGAAGCATTAATCATAATTATGTTTGGATTCCTCATATTATAGTATGGAAACTTCCCAAATACTGGGGAAAATCATGTTTGTAGATTATTATCATACTAAATGTATATACAATTAAATTTTAAATGTTATTAATTTGAAATTGATAAACTAAAAATATATTGAAATCGCGATATCTCTACTAATAGTGCTTCGATTTCGATGAAACTTCATTTTTTTAGGAAATTTAAAAACCTTTGAAACATCGTATCATAATATAGACAAAAATGTGTATACTTTTTGAGTTATTCGGAATTTAACTTTACCATCCCTCGTAACTTTTTTTCCAGCTTCTTTTCGAAATATGTTATATAGATTAAAGAGTGTCAAGAAAATGACTTTAGCGAAGTTTCATTTAAATCGGTACATTCGTTTAGACGCTTCAGTCTACAGCAACGCAGGTTTTTCTGCATTTTTATTTTTTTTCTCCTGTATAAACTTATCAAATTCTTTCAAAAGTTATATGTAGCATTTCGGTAGATGAATGGTTTAGAATAGAACCTGTATTAAATTTATATAAATAATTTTAGATGCTGAAAAATTTATAAAAAAATACTCTATTATTTGAGAGTAATTATTTATTAAACTTGATCTATAGACAAGAATTAACCAGAGAATAATCGATGGAAAAAAAAAAGGTCAAAACTATACACTAATAAATGGATTCAAGTATGACTGTTAGTTTCGTTCTTGTTTGTTCGCCTTATCTATTTGTTCAATTATATTTATTTATTATTATTGTTTTTTTCTAAGCATTTCTGTATTATTTTATTTCACTTCAAGTTACCTTTCTTTTGGTTTTATAACAGTTTTTGTCTTTGTTAAAAATCTTTTTATTTTATTTTATTTATTATTATTTATTGTAAACTTAATATAAAAAAGAGAAAAGAAAACCGTTTCGATTTTGAGAATTTTAATTTGGAAAAATTAAAAAATCCATCAATTAGAAACCAATTCGAGCTAGATGTTAAGAACAGGTTTGAAGCTTTAGAGCTCCCTGAAGAGGACCACGAGGATATTGACAAGTTATGGGTGGAGATCAGGGATAATATTAAAGCGGTCGGTAACTCGTGTCTAGGAAAAAAGGAAAATAACAATAACAAACCGTGGTTTGATGAAGATTGCTTAAAAATGTGCCAAAAAAGAAAAGCCGCTAAATTAAAAGCTCTAAATAATCCTAGCGAAGAAAATATGGAATACTTCCGAACCTCAAAGAACGAAACGACAAAATTGCTCAAAAATAAAAAAAGGGAGTATCTTAAAAATAAAATCATTGAAATAGAAACTAATAGAATCGAAAATAACGTAAGAGACATGTGCAAAGGTATAAACAGATCACGTAAATGTGTAGGGCCCGTAACGTCTGGAATTAGCAATGATAATAACAATATTCTGACCGATCCGGTTGACATATTGAATAAGTTTAAGGACCACTTTGACAACATTTTAAATACGGGAAATTATGATCTGTGTCCTCCTTCTGAGTACCAGAGTGCTGAACCGTTAGTAGAAGGACCAAGTAAAGAGGAAGTTGAAGTAGCTATCGGAAAATTAAAATCATATAAAGCAGCGGGAATCGATAATATTCCTACTGAACTAATTAAGGCATGCGGGGAAGCTGGAGTTTCTAAAATACATCGGTTGGTTAAAAAGATCTGGGTGAACGAGAAATTACCTGAAGAATGGAAAGAATCTATTCTTATTCCGATTCACAAAAAGGGCGCGAGGACGGATTGTAATAACTATCGAGGAATTTCACTCCTTCCGGTATGTTATAAAATATTCACTTCAATCTTAACCAGTCGAATCACGAAATACGCCGAGGAAATTATCGGAGACTACCAATGCGGATTTAGACGGAATCGTTCGACAATTGATCAAATATTTTCTTTACGGCAAATATTAGAGAAAAAATTGGAGTATAACGGTATTGTTCACCAGCTGTATATAGATTTTAAAAAGGCTTACGATTCTATTGACCGCCAGAAACTGTATAATATTCTAATCGAGCAGGGGATTCCAAAAAAACTAGTAAATCTAGTCAGGATGTGCTTGACGGAGACACTCAATAAAGTTAGAATCGGTAATAATTTGTCCGAAAAATTTGAGGTTCGTTCGGGCTTAAAACAGGGGGATTCTCTTTCGCCTGTCCTGTTCAATTTGGCATTAGAACATGCCATTAGGGAGGTAATGCGAACCGAGAAAGGGTTGTATCTGGGCGGGTCAACATCCGTGGTGGGCTATGCTGATGATCTATTACTGTTAAGCGAAGACGTTGAAACTATAAAACTAAATACGACAACGTTAATGAAAGCCAGTAAAGAACTAGGACTCGAAATAAACGTGGATAAAACAAAATATATGGTTAGCTGCAAAAATGGCGATACTACTGGTGATATTGATATAGATGGTAATATGTTTGAACAGGTAGAGAAATTCAGGTATCTAGGTTCTACGATAACTAGAAAAAACGAAATTGACGAAGAGATTAAGGTTAGACTGAAGGCGGGAAATGCTTGTTATTTTTCTGTGACAGAACTACCTAGTTCGCGCCTCTTGTCCCGGAACTTAAAAATTAGAATCTATAAAACAATTATCTTGCCTGCAGTTCTTTATGGATGCGAAACTTGGCCGCTTACATTAAGGGATGAGCAGCGTCTTAAGGTTTTTGAAAATAAAGTATTGCGTAGAATATTCGGACCGAAGAAGGATGAGTTAACCGGAGAGTTCAGACGGTTACACAACGCCGAATTGCGTGAGCTGTATCCGGGTAATATAATTGAGGTAATTTCATCGCGGCGAATCAAATGGGCTTGTAAAGTTGTTGGACTTAGTAACGAGAGAATTCCTAAAAGGTTAATATGTGTGGTGCCTAATGATAAGCGTCCGAGGGGTAGACCGAAGCGAAGGTGGGAAGATTGCATTAAAGTCGATCTGAAGGGGCTGGGTTTGGACGGCGAACGGTGGAGGGAGGTGTGTAATAAGCGATTGGTGGTGTCGGCATCGAAACTTCGGGTTCGCTAAGCTTTTTATTATTATTATTATTATTTATTGTATTGTATATATGGTATTAATGTGCCTCAGCTATAATATTCAGTGCCATTTAGTATGGTAAAATGTATTATTTCTTACTAAAAAAGATTTAAAAAAAATAAAAACTAAATGGATAGAATATATTAAACAATTATTCAATATGTGAATTCAAGGTGATAATTCGTAATATTTTTATGTAATGGTCCTGTTTTAATTTTATTTCAGTTCTTCACGCTGTATTCAACAGTTAACGAATCGGAGACAGTGGAGACTTTATAAATAATGGGTTTTATTCATAATGTTACATGGCATCTAAAATATAATATAAGTAATATAGTATGGATATATGAGTTAACAACATCAGTTCACTCCAGATCTCCTACAGTGAAGAGTCTGACTCAATAATGCAACTGTATGAGTGGTTTGGTCTTAGCAGTTATTGTTTAGTATTGATATGAGAGAAAGGGGCCTTTTTCTGCAATCTGTTATTGTCCCCCAATATCTGTTGTTGATAAAGGGTCTTATTGTGTCCTGTCAGTACATTCTAAATAACTATTTCTAAGCTATCAGAGATAGCTTGACATGGCTATCTAGGGCTTTGTAATAAGCTTTGATAAAGGTCATGAGAAAGGTCAATGCATAATTAAATAAAATAAAAGTTAATATTAATTGTTGTTACGGATTAAGTCCATTCCGTAACCAACGATAAGCGGTTCGCGGGTCCCATGTTTGACACTCTTGACGGATAGCACATGCGGATCTACGGTGCGGGGGAAGGGGGGAGGCTTTCGGGTTGACCTCCCCCCCAAAATGGTAAAATATAACCATGTCTAATGAAAAAAATTATCTATAAAAATATTATTGTTCGTACAATAAATTTAATAGGACTTCAAGAATCGATTAAAAACCCTTTCATATAGGTAGTTAGTTTCTTTCTTTTTCTTCCAAAGTAATTATTGTTTATATATATATATATATATATATATATATATATATATATATATATATATATATATATATATATATATATACACACTTTAAGGCTGAAGCCCCACCAAAATTAAATCCTTAATCGGCTAGTGACGGGCAGGTATGCAAGTCTAATGGATTCGGTGAGTATTGCCTACCACATACATGTGAATGATTTTTTCACTAGAAAAATTTTCAACCCGAGTTCGTGCGAGTCGAAACACCGTTTAATCGCTTATCGTTGAGGTAGCCCGACTAACAATGCCGTTAATGAGAGCGGTAAGAAATGTCGGAGAGTGAAGAGTGTTTTTAAGGAAGGGGACAGACAGTAGGGCGATCGTGCTTCGCTTATTATTCAAAGCATGTTTTTGGTCGCCTCTTGAGATGCAAACAACACATAAAGAAATAATACTCTCTCGAAATGCTAGGCCTCCAATAGTGAAAACTGTTTCAGTATAGTAACGCTCAAGTCAATATTTTTTCAATTTTAGGAAGAAATTTATTATTTATGTATTCATTCTATCGGCTTAGTGAGTCACGCGTGGGTATTTACCCAGCAATTAAAATACTCAACAGTAGAGTGGGGGTAAAGTCTTATACAAAAGAACCCTTTAAAGATACATACTGTATACAGTTATGGGCTAGTTAAAAGTTTGTAGAATATTTCATTTTTTTAGGAAGGGTGCAAACATTGGAAAACAAATTCTGCACGAACCATCATGAGAACTTTAGGCAGTTAAAATACCTTTAGTTCTTCCATCTTTTTTTTTTGTCATCTGAAAATGAAAAAGATTAAATTTTGCAACAAATTAGTACCCCAATATTTGGTTAAGTGGTATAGTCGAATACTAAGGTAACAAACAATGTTTACCAACTTTCTAAAACTGAGATATATTTTTTTTAATGAAGAAAAGATTGGTTGGGGTGATCAGTAAAAAAAAAAAAAAAAAGTAAAAATATTATTATTAATTTTATTTATTTATTTTTTCATTAAATTTGCCGCTGCTTTGTAACGCATCAAGCAAATCTGTTGGAGATTATTCTATTTTCTACAATTCTTGATATTTTTAACTTTTCAGCAGAAGATCTCTAGGCCACTGCCTTTTAAGTTGTCTTTGAGGCTCACCAGGTAACAGGGAGGAAGATAGAGATAGAACTAGTGGATTTGGATGATTGAGAGTAGAAGAATGAAATATTGTGTACTTGTTGTGTATGTAGAATTTTACTATTGGTATGTTCATGTCTGTGTGTATGGTGTGATTTGAAATAAACCAAGGAGCGTTAACGATTTTACGAAGTTTTTTGGATTGTGTGGTTTGTTTATGTGTGTGTGTTTTGCGGAACTCCAAAGTTCTGCTCCATATGTCCAAATAGGTCTTAGTATAGTGGTGTAGATTAGTCGCTTGTTTAGTAATTTGAGTGGAGATCTGTATTCCAAAAGATGTGACAGTTGTTTGTATCGTCTGGTCAGTTCTTGTTTTTTTAATTTAGTGAGAATGTTCCAGGTGAGTTTTTTGTCTAAATATAGTCCAAGATACTGTACATATGTTTTTGAGGGCACTGGTTTGTTGTCTATTGTCACAGCAGGGCACGAGTTCTTCCTGAGGGAGAAGCTAATATGAGTTGACTTGCTAAATTAATAAAAATATTTATTTTATTTTGACCGATGTTTCAGCCCAAAGTTAAGGACTTTTTTTGTTTTACTGATCATTCCAATCAATCTTCTCTTCAATTATTCACTACAGTCAACCATCAATCCATAATTATTTCTATAAATGATTGGCAGTTGTGGAATGATCCTTCTACGAGAACAAAGGCATAAAAGTTATAGTATCTTTGTGGTTGAGGGATTTACTTGATTTAATGGTAATGTCGGGGCCGCGGTTGTCGAGTGAGTTAAGGCCTCTGCAAAAATTGTATGATACGAGTTTGAATCCCGTTCGCTGGATTAAATAACAAAACAAAGAAGATAAAAATATAAATAATTAATAATAAATAAATAAGTGCAGTCCCTACTCGATTGCTTAGACCACTAGAGCGCGGGTTCTATTCCCGTAGGGGAACGGTGACATCCTCACCCTGAGACTTACAGGAAGGTGAGAGCGACCCCTATGCCTAATAAAAAATAAAAAGCTCCTCTGGTGTTTCAGATTTTGGGAATTGGGCACAGGACTAATAACTGTACTCCGTAAAAAACAACAGGATAGAGCCGTATGCAAAAGGTTGCCAACCATCCTGATGAAGAGGAAGTGGTTGTGATCGTGTTCGGTTATTATAAACCACGTGATCCCTGGATATCATCTATATAAGAAGAGAACCAAACGATTACAGTTTATCGCCTAGTCCCGATGATGCAAGAAGAGTAATGGCGGAAGTCAAAAGAATTAAGAGGCGTTAAAAAAAAAAAAGATTTGTAACAATTTTAAAAATTGTACTATATAATTAAAGACACTTTGCAGGCCGTAGTATGGAGCGTATGATAATATACAAGGGAAACTAGTCCAGCAAGAGGAACTTGTGGACCTATTTGGTAACCCCTGACGGCTATCTTGAAGTTGCCGCTGCGAACTTACCAGGATGGGAGTGTCACAATACATTTCTAGGGGCCGAAAAGAACTAAATATTAATCGACCCAAGTGGGAACTACGTCCCATAGCGCTCGGCTATCAAGTATATCAAACATAACAGTTAAATTAACTACTCACTGATAAGCGTAAGGTTGACCCTGTAATTTCTGGTAGGAGAGTTGAGGAAGTCGACCCTGCACCTGAACACTCCTTGGTCCTCCTTCTTGACCTTGGATATCCTGAGCATGGCCGGAGGACCTCTGTCGAAGTTGCTGCGTTGCCCCAAGTCGTAGACCATCGCTCCGTGCGATGCTCGTTCCAGGCCTCCGTAGCGGCCGTCCACACTGGAACACAACAAATCTTTTTGGAAGTAATAGCTAAGCATAGATCCAATAAAAAACTGTTGATTTAGTATTAAATATATGAATTACTGAATGTAAGAAAATATTTAAAGATAACTATTATATTTTTTTCAGCAGTACGATGGTGCATGGTCCCACCGATCATACTGTATATGGAATGAGGAATGCTGACACTAATCCAGTATGTCCATAAGTATTGGGAGGCCACTGACCTTATAATAAATACAGACTTTATAATAAATAAATATTGTTAAGAAAAAACAAACTGCAGTAGTAGGCTTACCCGTATGTTTACGTTATATTACGTGCAGAATATCAAAACAAACACATTTTTTATATAATAATAAAAACACACATTATATCACAATAGTTACATTTTATTTTTACTCTATATCCAACGTTCATACTATACTAGACAATTAATGTATTGTGAAAAGAGCGATTCGGTACATATGATTTTATTTTTAAATTAAAATAGGTTTATTCCCTTAAAAATGGCCAAAGGGCTGATACGTTGGAAGTAGATTAAAAATAAAGTAGGACTATCATGATTTGATGTTTTTTTTTTACTTTAATTTACCTTATATTATTATATATGTAATATATAGTAAAAAATTTCGTGAACATTTTTGAATCTGAGTTTTCGACGGAAATACACGTTTTGAGGTATCCTGAGTCCAAATAACTAAGTCCCGCAAAATGGTCTATGTGTGTGTGTGTGTGTGTGTGTGTGTTAACAGTCTAGCTCAAAAACGAAAAGTCTTACCTAAGTGAAATTGCATATTTAAGGTTTTTATATGCTAGGGATGTTACAGTAACGTTTTCGTCAAAATCGGCAAACCGGAAGTGGCACTTTATATAATGGACTAAACACATGTTTACGATTATCTCGAAAACCGCTCTAACGATTTTGATTAAATTCTTCATATCAGTGTAAAATTAAGCAGTTTTAAATAAAATATGTTTATTATTCTGATTGATGTTCACTAACAGAGCTTAAATGGCTAATTATCAATATTAGCTTCCTCAAAAGTACCTTTCATTTTTTTTTATTTGAAACAATTTACCATTTCACATTAATTTTTCATATGAAAAGTGGTTAAATATAAAATATGAAAGAATTTGATAATTAACAAAAGGAGAAAGTAAAGATCGTAAAGGATAATGGTTGAAATGGTGGAACCAAAGGTAGTATTTAGTACCCGAGCTCACCCGAAAGATTTTAACAGGCTTTCATACGTAACAAGAGCTTAAAATCATATGGACTCCGACAATATTATATAAATAAATATAGAGTCTATCATTTTTGTTTTCACTTCACCAACAATATTGAAATATATATATTAGCACATTTTTTTATGTTTCCCACTAACAATAATGAGGACACCCAGTACTCTTTTTGTATTATTAAGCATAATAACTATGCATAATATTAATAATAATTTTAGTATTCAACTAAAATAGTAGGGACGTTGTAGGAAATAAATGAAAAATTAAATTAATAATGAACAACATAATAATGCAACGATAATGATGATTGCTCGATCTTCATATGAATGTACACAAGTGTACGAACTTGTACTGCACACACTGTTCATGTACTAAATTCTAATCTGCCAGAACAAAATATGTAGCAGTACATGATAACCAGACACCCTGTAATGAAATCAGAACTCTAAATATAAATCAAAAAGATTTGAGGAGTTTTTCTTTATTTATTCTTCGTAAAGGCGTAAATTAAAATGTTAAAATGTTAAGTTTGGAAGAAAAATAATTAATCTTTCCAACGGTTTCAGAAACGTTGAATTAGAAGAAAATGCTATGGAATTATGAAGCCATTAGTAATCGGCATGAAAAAAAATCAAGTCCAACAATTTGTATTTTTTATTCGAAAATAAATTCATATTTATAAGTTTTAAAGGACTAATTTAAATCCATAATTTATGATAAAATACATCAGCGTTATATTTTTATTATATTATACAAAAAAAACAAAAAAAAAAAAGATTGATATAATACAACCTAGAAATCCATTGAGAGCAATATGGTTGAAAACAATAATATAAAAAAAATGATAACTTTCTGTAATTTTTTTTCTGGGCTCCTGGGGCGCATTGGCATTAACCCACGGAAATAATTAAGATACTTTTCGACCAAGTAAATGAAAAAGTTACTAAAAAAAGTTTCTTTGAAATTGGTGATCCCTCTTCCGTACTCTTGCCTTGCAATTTGATAAGCACAACATAATTTCATACTCTCTGATTATGATTTTAATTTTTCTACTAACTTTTAAATTGTAAGCAAGGTTTGTATACGAGATGTCAATTATTGAATAACTTATTTTCTTGAGAAGTCCACTTAGATTTAGGGAAGTTTCCTAACGAAGAACACAAATTGTGATCCCATACCCCCTCCTTATCTACCCATGAGCCCGACTTGGGAGAGCTTATGAGGCAATTGCCACCCCTCCCTCCTCCTAAACTCTAATAGTATGGCTATTCACCATGGGGGTCACTAGCGGATCCTGGATTTATTTTTTTGGGGGGGGAGCTTAAGCCCGAAAGTTGTTTTTTTCATAAAAATAACTATAATTACTTTGGAAAAAAAGAAAGGAACTAACTACCTATATATATATATTTTTTTTTTTTGGTGATATTTACAACTGTATTACAAGTAAAAATACATTCAGTAAATGTGAACAAAGGAATAAAATAGCATGAAATCACATGTTGAGAAACTACCCATTGGTAGCACTCCAAAAATGTATTTACAAAAGGAGATCTCGAGGCCATCTTCTTTTCAGACGCCTCTGAGGGTTGTCAGGGATCGAAGAGGAAGCAAGGTTAGAAACGAGAGGGTTTGGATGGTTCTGAAGTTTGTTATGGAAGGATAGGTATCTGGATTGGGCCAAGTCAGAAACATAAGGAACATTAAGGTCGTTATGGATGATTTTGTTTGTGACAAAGTAAGGAGCAGTGAGGATTTTACGAAGGATTTTGGATTGTAAGGATTGAATACGAGAGGAATTCGATGGCTTAGTGGAGCCCCAGAGCTCAACACCGTAAGTCCAAATAGGTCTTATTGTAGTCATGTATATGAGTCTTTTGTAATTGACTGGGAGGTTAGAGCGTTTATCTAGTAAGTGCTGGAGTAGTCGGAAACGTCGAGCTGTTTCTTGTCCTTTCAGTCTGGTATGAGGATTCCAAGTTAGACGTTTGTCTAAGTGGAGTCCAAGGTATCGAATTTGTTCAACAGGAATAAGTGGGGTATTATTAAAGGATACTGGAGGACAAGAGGACATAGGTTTACGACGAAGGGTAAAGGTGATTTGATGGGATTTATTGGAATTTATTTCCATTCTCCAGTTTTGACACCATTCTTCAAGGTTTGTAATGTGTGATTGAAGGGTTTGGGATGCAATTGTTGGGTCGTTATTAACTGATAGGACACATGTATCATCGGCGTACGTGGTAATGACTGTGTTAGGATGGGTTGGGATATCAGCTGTATAAACTGTGTAAAGGATAGGACCTAGGATACTACCTTGAGGAACACCAGCGGACTGGGAAAAAAGGGATGAATAGGCATTATTACCTATATGAAATGGTGTTTAAGTGATTCCTAAAGCTCTTTTAAATGTAATTACACGAACAATAATACTTTAAGAGATACTTTTTTAATATTTTTTCCGATAAAACATGGTTATATTTTACCATTTTAGGGGGGCTTCAGCCCGAAAGCCCCCCCTGTAGATCCGCCCCTGATGGGGGTAGAAGGTTTCTTTATAGTCATAGTAATAATATAATAATAATAAATTTATTTATTGAGCAATTTTACAAATGCCTTTTGGCATATTTTGTAAATGTTATGTTCGTTAGCGAACCTCCTCTCCGGGATTAGCGTGAAAACGTGATTGGATAAGCCTCCCAGTGAAGGCACTCCTAACGTGACTCCTGACGCAGCAGATCTCTGCTCCAGAGGCGCTTGAGTCTCCTTGGTGGATTCTGTGGTAGTGTGTCTGTTAGCAATGTTTGTACAAGTGGATTAGGATGTCCAGCTAAGGAGTCATGGAAACTTTTATAATATTTTTTAATTACATCAGTCACTTGTGATATTTGTAGGTCTTTATGAAGTGATTTATTGGTTATGTAGAAGGGACAATGAGTGATATACCGGAGAAATTTAGATTGGAAAATTTGAATAGTCTGTAAGTGTGTTTTTTTGCATGAACCCCACACCTGAGAGGCATACGTCCATATTGGTCTGAGTAGCATGTTGTATATAGTAATTTTGTTAGAAAGTGATAGTTTGTTTTTATGGTGTAGCATTCGTCTTAGTAGTGATAACCGATGGTTCAATCTCTTTTTTAATGTAGTCACGTGTGATTTCCAGGTCAGTCGTCTGTCCATTGTGAGTCCTAGATATTTTGTCTCAGTATGATTTGGCAAAGGGGTGTTGTAAAGTGTCAGTGGAGGGCAATCCGAACGTTTAAGTGTAAATGTAACCTGGTTTGATTTTTGAATGTTAATTTTTATGCGCCATTTATCAAGCCAGTCTTGTAGAAGATTTAAATGAATCTGTGCTTTCTGAGATGCTGTGATCGGATTAGAGTCAGTCGAGAGTATGACAGTGTCGTCTGCGTAAGTTGCGAGTAATGTGTCTGGTGTCTGTGGAATATCAGAAGAGTAAATTGAGTACAGAACCGGACCTAAAATACTGCCCTGCGGTACTCCCGCGCCGATTCGGCAATAGTCGGAGTATTTACCATCCTGGCTAACAATAAAAAATCTATCCTCAAGATACGATCTGATTATTAAATAATATGTATGCGGAAAGATTGGTTTAATTTTACAAAGTAGACCATCATGCCACACTTTATCAAAGGCCTGTGAGACGTCTAAGAAAGCTGTTGTGCAAAATTCCTTCTTTTCCAATGCCACAGCAATTGTATCAATCACTCTATGACATTGTTGTATAGTAGAGTGTGCAGGTCTAAATCCAAATTGGTGATTAGGAATAACATTGTTTGCTTCTAAAAATGGATAGAGCCGTTTTAATAATAATTTTTCAAATATTTTGGAAAATAAGGGTAAAAGACTGATAGGCCTATAGGACGTGACTTGGTCTAAAGGTTTGCTTGGTTTC